CTAGGCTTCCCACCCTCTATATCTAAAAAAAAAACGTCAAAATCGATGGGGTGGGAAGCCTAGGCTGCCTTTTTTGCCCTCTTTTTCGCACATGCATGCCGCCGCTGCAAATTAGCTAAAGGCGCATCATAGAGTCCTCATAAGAGCTGCGCCTGGAGGCGCAGCTCACGCTCTACGCAACTCTTTAGGCTAGCATAGTAGCTCCAAGCAATGTCCTTCAAACAAACTCCAGCGCATCCCCTTCAAGAACGCGGGCAGGCAAACAATTTCCAGCGCATTCAACTCAAGAATGAGCATCAGGGTCTCCATGGGAGCGAACATCTTAAGGCGGTTTCTGATCTTCAGGGCACTCAAATACCATGATAATCCCTGCCCCGGGACTCCCCGCTAAGTCGACTTATCTGACTTAGCTAAGTCGACTTAGCCGGCTTAGCTAAGTCGACTAAGTCGACTTACGGTAAGTCGGCTAAGTCGGCTAAGTCGACTTAGGCTAAGTCCGATAAGTCGACTTAGTAAGTCAGGTTTTCGTAAGTCGATCAGCGACTTAGTAAGTGAGTTAATAACCAGATACAAGTCAGTTAGCCGGGTTGTCGATAAGTCGACTAAGTATAGTTATAAGTGTTTATAACCCGCGATCGACTTATCACCTAAGTCAGTCACTAAGTCGATAACTGGTTAGCCGACTTACTAACCAGTTATAAATACTTAGCTAACCCTGCTAACTAGTTAGCCGACTTACGTTGAGTTAAAACAAACTTACCCTGGGAATTTTCCGGGTTATAAATCAGATGTAAATAGATACAAATCAGTTGACAAGTCGGATAAGTCAGCTAACTAGTTAGTAACCCAAACGCACATCCAAGCAATGGAGCTCTCGGCTGTCCGAGCTCACTGGGACAGATCCTCTGAGGCGCGGGCGCGTTTGGCCAACAGGCATCGTCGCGCTGTGGATCTCAAACCTGGGGACCGAGTGGTGTGGAACGCACCGCACCCAAGGCCCGCTCGGCCTTCGACAGAAGAAGGGGAAGCGCGCCCGGGGCCTCACTGCTGTAAAGCTTGCCCTCAATGCCTTCAATGGCGATCGGTTGAAGGTCTGCTTGCTGTCGAGGGTCTCGAACTTCATCCCCAAATTCTTCAGCTCGGCCTCGAACCGTGATGCCCAATCGGAGCCATGCATGGTCTTGGCGCAGCCCGAGTCGAGGCGTCACGAAAGTCTGGAACTTGAGGTAGTCCGCCTTGCCGCCCTTCTGGTACTCAAAGGCGTTATCGAAGGAGACCTTTGTTAGGGCATTCTCGTTCGCGCGCTCGGCAATGGCAACCTTGTGGCAGTCCAGGGCGGCGTCGGTGTTCCCAACGGCGTGCTCGCCGTTCCTCGACCTCGTCCGCGCCCTGCCACGTAGAATCTTTGGAGCAAACTCCTTCTTCGGAGCGGCAGCGGTCGATCGGGCTCCTTTATTCTTTGGGCACTCAGCGTCCCCGCTCCAGTGGCCTTTCATGCCGCACGTCGTACAGGGCATGACCTGCTTCAGGAACTTTGCGCGTTTCGCCTAGCGTCTTGGCCTTATCGAAGGAGATCTCGCCCTGGGCCTTGAAAGGAAGAGGGGATCCCTTGCCGAGGTTGCGGCTTCCCTTTTTCCCCTAGCCAAAGCTTCAGCCACCTCAGTGTCCTCCTCGAAGTCGCAGTCCTGGAGCAGCGCGTCGACGGCCTGAGCGTCCTCGGGGCCGGCGTAGTCCACGTAGGCGTCGGCCTCGTCGTCCTCGTCCTCATAGCACACGTCGCCCTCGGCATTGTCAGGGTCGTCCTCGCCGCCGAGGGAAGCTGCGCGCGCTTGGCCTTGCTCGTCCTTTTCCCTTGGATGTCGGAAGCCGCGGCCTTGGCATCCAAGGTAGTCCCGGTGAAGGATCGGCTTGTTGGTGGCGTTGGGGTACTGAAATCCGCAAGGCATGACCCATGCGCTTCAAGTCATACTACCCACGCTGCTCAGCACGGAGCCCGCCAAAGGTGAGGAGCATGATGGCCTGGGTGTGCTGTGGGACCTTGGCATCGGAGAGCACTTCCTCGAGCCTCTTAAACTCCTGGTCACGACGGATGATGTACTGCTGCATCGTCTCGCCCTGCTGCGGCCACATGGTGGGAGAGTAGAACGCAGTCAAGCTCACTCACCTTGACCGGCTGCTCCGCCGCGATGTTCTCCTTGAAGGTGTCCAGGAGCAGCTGCACGCCTTTCGGCGTGGGCTTGCCGTTGTCGTGCCGAGTCTTCAGCTTCTCGTGTGTGATCTTCCTCACGGCCTCGTAGGCGTCCCTAGTCAGGCCTGCCCTCAAACGAACAGCGGTGGCAAGCTGAGTCTGCTCATTTCCCTCACGGCCATGGTACAAGTCCCAGGCCCGCTCCTGATACTCCTCGAAGGCGTCGGGCTCGCCGGTGTACTGCGGCACGCCCTACCTGTTCACATCAAGTCTGGCATTCGCAGAAGACATCTTGAAAAAAAGGAGGTCGTCAAGAACTCCAAGTAGGCGCCGGCACAAGGGCGAGCGCGAGAAAGACAGCACCGGCACAAAGGCGGGCGCAAGAAGTTGGATGCCTGTCCGGCTCCGCAGCAGAACACAGGCAGAAGAAAGGGGTCTCAGAGACCGCGCGTTCAAGCGCAGTAGCGAAAGGCTGGCTCACGAACCAGCTCCGCTTACCATCAGAAAGGCACTGGCAGCGCAGTACCACAATGGTACCCTTTTCTACCAAAGGGGCGCCCCTGAGCAGTAGCGGTTGCAGAGTCAAGGCCATGCACATCTGTACTGCACGGGCTCACATGTCCTACCAAGCTGGATGATTTTCACAAAGTCTTCAACAGCCGAATTCAGCTTGCCTTGTGTGCATTAGGAGCTTCTGCACTTCAAGTCTCACCTGCTCACCAAAGCGCGATGGATTCACGCGAGCGAATGCATGCCAAGAAAAGCTGCTGCTGGCCTGCTGGCATCGAAGGGTTGCTCCTGTGGTGCATTGTTTCAAAACATCTTTGCAACATTCGCTTTCTAGCTTTTTGTGCTTCCCTTGCGTCGTGACCCGAGATTTTGGCCCGAAATAAATAATGCGTTCGAGTGAAGCATCCCCAGATTTTGTCTCAGAATCATGCCCTCGCGTGGAGCATCCTTAGATTTTTGAACCCCAACCCGCCTCCCAAGAAAGTACAGGTTTGTTCTAAAAAGATTGAGCAAAAAAAGGCCCCCCTCCATTTTCAGCTCCGCGGGTGCTCAGCACGGTCGCAGGAAAAGCCACAAAGAGGCAGGGCCAGGATGCGCAGCCAGAACCGTCAAGACAGCAACCGTACAGCTTGCCGTCAGGGAGATGCGCATCAAATCCTTCTAAAGATCGGTGTCCGGTGCGCAGCAAAGCTTCATTGGCTGTCCCTGGACGCATTGTCCAGGACAAAGGCTAGCATTTCTTCTGTACATCTCAGCTGAAAACTGCCAGTTTTGAGATACCTTCAGCCTGCCTTTAGCTGTTTCTTTGGCTGATACATTATTCCAAGGAAAGCATGTCCCTCTGGCCAGGGCCCATGCCTGACGAGAAACCTGCACGTCCTCACGAGACAGTTTCGCGCTCGAAGCCGGATCGAAGCTCCGACTACGGTGAAACAGAGGCATCTCACAGTGCGTCTCACAGGCAATCTTTGGGGCAAACCTGGCACTGCCAGAGTGAGCTTAGGTCAAAATGCTGCATGCGCATGCTGGGCTGCAGGGACTATTCACCAATTCATTTGCCCTGCACGCGCCCATGTCAGACATTTGTCCAGGACCACTCTGGATGGTCCTCTGCTCTCTCATAAGAGCTGCTGAATTTGCTTTCACACGCTTTGCGTGGTCTCTGGACACGGCGGACGAGCTGCCCACAGCTTGCATGTCTCAATCCGGGAGGTGCGAGAAGTCCATGCGTCGCCAGAGCACGATACGCCCCAGCCTCAGGGAGCGCAAAGGCTCAGAAAACCAGGCGGCTCGGAATCTCTTGAGACTGCCGCGAGTCGGCGCTGGCGAGGAGCGTGTCCTGATCTCCGCTAGCTCTTTCTTTCGCCTTCATTTTTTTCAATTCTGCCTGGTTGTTGACGGCCACAGCCACTACGGGCACCTATGCCAGGATAGCAAGAGATGCAAGCTGAGGCTGTTGCAGATGTCCTGCCTGATGATGCTTCAGGGGCTGCATTTTGTAGTTGGAGCCTTTGCCGAGAGGATAGATGTGGACCTCAGAGGAAAAGCTTTCAAACGCAGAGAAGCAGGAGCGAACGTCAGAGCCGAGGATGGCACGTCTTTGTTTTCGGACCCTGAGATCAGGTAACCTACCAGGAGCGTGCCAGGTGCCAATGTGCCAAAGATCTTCGACTCGCGCTTCATGAAGCGACCTTGGCCTGAGGGAGAGTAGCAATTCTTGAGCGGCAGGAGCTCATGCCTCAGTGCCACAAATTGGACCAACAATCTCTTTTTTTTCTTCTCCGAGCCATGGGCGCTACCCGGACTCGATGCCTCACAGCCAGGTTGTTGAGGACCTCATGACATCACAAAAATGGTTTGTTACACACCCCTGAATCCAACTGGTTACATCCAGCTTATGATGCACATCTAGCTGTCAAAGCTCTGTTGCATACATGAGTGTAACTTGTGAATGATGGCAGCAAGTGCCCATATGTCATTCATCCCATGCGATGCATGCGATTAGGCTTCCGGACCCCGCTGGGTGGGCCATAGGTACAGTCGATAATGGTGGCCGAGCAGTCCGAGGTGTTCACCAGAAGGCATGGCCTGACCAACGGAGCCAACATTGCATCAGACTCTAGCCGATCTATCCGCAGAAAGGCAACAACGACTTTTGCAGGGCGGAGCGTTGCCACATCGGCTTGCTGCAGAGCTCACTAAATTGTTTTAGACCGCTGGACAGGCGTTATGCGTTTTGTTGCCTCTGCCCCTGGACCTAACAAAATCCTCTTGCACCCCCTTCAGAGCACCTCCACAACAAACCCCAAAACCTCACACACACCCCTCCCCCCCTCTCCGCAGCCAAGGGTGAACGAAAGCAGGCAAGTTGGCTCCTGTTTTGGGGCACAGGAGAACCTGGCAATGCCGTCGCACAGCCTGTGCTGCGTTTCGGGAGCCCAGCTAAACTTTGGGGGTGTTGTGGGGCCATTGGAAGACATGGTCCGTCTTGATGGCCAAGCCCCTGCAACAATCGTAAATTCACTAAGTGCTGTGTTTGCTTGAGCTATGGGCATGAAGCTGAAGTGATCTGCATCTCGAGTGTTGCAAGTCAGTGCAACTGCTTCCTTGGAACTGTTAGGGTAGCTGAGCCCTGGCTAGGAAACTGGTTTAGTTTGCCCAAAGACTTCGCACGAATCCACTGAATTGAAAGGCGTGGACGGTGGGATCGCATTGCTTTTCCTGCTGTTTTGTATGGCGGACTAGCAGGCAATTTTGGAAATAGGCGTTTTGTTTACGAGCTAAACAGCTGAAGAAGAAATATCCTGCTTCCATGATCGCCGAACTCCTTTGTGTAGCTTCACCATCGATTTCGCTTTGCAAGTGCCAACAGTCTCGCATGTGACGGAATTTGTGAAAGGAATGAGTGTACTTCTACTGAAAGGCGTCTCGCCAGAGAGGTCACTAGCGTCACCAGAGCTTTCCGCCCCATATGGGGCGGAAACTCTCCTGCTTCCTCGGACATGGCTCTCACCGCCTAAAACCATAACCGGGGTTTCATCCTACCTCTCTTCAAACCGGGGTCTCTTGCTAGCCTCAGCAGTCACTTGCTTACGTCGCCCCTTCCGGGGTCGCATAGCCTCCCCTGCTGGGGTCCCTTGCCAGTCTAAGCAGTGTTGAATTTCAAGCTTGCCTTAACTCTCTCTTTGCCTGGCCTTTTGGCCATTTCTGGACTCTCAATCGTGCAGTTAACCACCTACGGGCCTAGGTTACTCCAGTCAATTTTCAACTCAGCTCCCTTAGTCAGTCTGGCAATCAGTGGCGCATGTTTGAAGTCTCTAGAGTTCAGGATTGAATTTATTGGGGTTTCAGGTGCTTTCAAGTGTGACATTTTGGCAACTTCAAAGTTTCGGGATGAAAGGCCTGTACCGCTTCTGTGCGCTGACTAATTTCCACGGTCGTCTGGCACTGGTATAAAAAATTGGATGTGCGAGGCCCTTAGCCTAACTCGCTGGCTTGAGTGCATACCGGGAGCTACAATGCAACTGGCATGGTACGCGTTGGGACAATGCATTGGACATCACTCACAGCTGGATACGCTGCTGATCGATGAAGCATTGCGCCCGCAGCGTGCTGTTGGGTTCCGTCTCTGCGCTATACTAGTCTTGCTCGAGATCGCCAAAGCTTTATGCCAAGCTGCTCGCGCAACCTGGGGTGCTAGTTGAGGGCGCTCTCTTTTGTGGGGCTGGGTGTCATGCTGCCTGCGCGCCAGCTTGGCATGCAAGTTGGCGGCGCTCCTTCCATGCTGCCGTGCGCAAACTTGGGGTAGCTGGGGGCGCTCCTTGCATGGGGCTGTATGCCAATGCTGCTCGCAAGCCGACTTGGGATGCTGGTTGCCCGACTGTGCCCAACGCCAAGCTGTCTGCGCGACAACTTGACTAGTTGCAGAGTGTGCGCCTTGATCCCGCACAGTGCCCGACAAGGAAGTCACAAGAAGAAGAAGGTGGAGCTTAGAATGTTGCCTAGGCTGAAAACGCTAAGCCAAGGCAAGAACTGCGCATAAGCTACATACACATGCAGCTACCCACTTTAGCTTTTTTGTGAGAGTAAAGCACAAAAAACACAAGAATGGCTTTTCTGCGAACACTGCGTGGTCAATGGTGATGTCTGCCCCTTCAGGGCTGAAAAGAAAGTTTTAGACGAGGAGTTTCGAAGGCATAGACAACATAAACAATTCACGGATCAGAAAGTAAGGTTCCACGCTGCTCTCAGCTCCAAGCGGCTGTCCGTTGGCTGCCGGGACGAAGGTGATGCAGGTCACGCCTCCAAACGAATTGACTGCAGTCGTATGATACGCCTAACCAGGCATTCTTCAAGCAGCTGGAAAAGTCTCCACCTCCCCGTGCAAGATTCACCTGAGCTTTCAAAGGGAAAACAGACCAAGCCCGTCAAGTTGCGCCTGTCCTCGCCTTGAACTTGAACTTCAGCGTGTTGGCATCTGAGGCCTGACCAATCTTGCGTCCGCTTTTCCAGAAGTGGGGCAACTGAAATACTGCGAGCACACTGTCATTTTCACGTCCAGCAAGAGGCCAGAGCTCGATTGCAACATACCGCACAACGTGCACTGCATAGAGCAGAATGCAACGGCACTTTTGATGCGGTGGGATAACGCCTGTGTCGGCGGGGGGTCTTCTGACGCCCCGGGATTCGGGCTGGAGGGGCGCATCTGCACCCCCTGGCCCGCGATGGGCGTAGAGACCCACCGGTGTCCAGAGTAAACGCCTCTAAGGCGGATGATGTAGCTGAACAAAAACCGCCTGGGCTGGGTGGGTGGGACAAATGGCGGTTTGAGCACTCAAGCTGCGGTGAGCGCCCGAGTGCTCAATGTTCCAACGCACACGAGTGTGCTATCAAACATGCCGCACAACGTGCACTGCACAGAGCAAAATGCAACGGCACTTTTGATGCGGTGGGATAACGCCTGTGTCGGCGGGGGGTCTTCTGACGCCCCGGGATTCGGGCCGGAGGGCGCATCTGCACCCCGCCCGGCGCCCCGCCGGCACCGGAAAATTAGGACATGCAGGTCAGAAGAAATAGTGTGTAAAGGCGTACTCGATGTCAGCTGCCGCCCAGGCGAGGATCTCGAGGACGGCGTCGATGTTAGTGTCCGCCTGCGTCCAGCCATGGCGGAGGGCCAGAGTGCAGTCCGCCCGAGAACTCGGGTCGGCGATGTTGGACCCTGTGGAAGGCGGGACGCCAGGACCGCATGGCCGCCAAGGCGGACAGGAGCCCATTGACTGATGCATCCCCTCCATAGCCTTTATTCAACGCCCATTGGCCCGCAGCATTGTCGATGAAGGCGATCCAGTCCTCGCCTACATGGTCGGCGAGGGTCACCACCGCCAAGATCTGTGCGAGCACCTCCAACATGTAGATATACGCCAGTCTGGTCTCAAACTTGCGGACGAAGGGCGAGCAGGCAATGGCCAGTCAAAACACCGGCCCACTGCAGCACCATCCTGCACACCGCCTGGTTCCAATTGGTCATATGCTTTGGGCGGCTGCTTCCGTCTAGAACTTCAACTTGGCGGGGGACGCCCTCCAGTTCCTGACCCGGGGATGACTGTAACAGGGTGGATGGCTCCGACCTCGCAGACTCCGCCTTCCACGCCTTCGCCGACTTCCAGGCGATGGGGCTCCGCACTCAACCGTCCAAGGCGCAGCAGCCTGGGTGGCAGCAAGACATCCAGGGTGCGCAGGCGTCATTCGGGCGCGACGGGGTCACATTGGAACCGACCCAGAAACGGCTGGACAAGATCCTGGCGATGATTGCCCAAATTCTGCGCGCGGGAAAGTCCACACCAGAAACTGGCGGGTAAACTCAACTTCGTCAACCAGACCGTGTTCGGCAAAGTTGGCCGAGCAGCGCTGGCGCTCATGTATGGAGCGAGCGCCAACGCAGGCGACCATGATGAGATTACTTGCGGCATGAGGGCGGCTTGCCTGGCGACACGAGGCATCCTGAGCCAGGCGCCGCCACCTTTCCTCCCATTCACCGCCCAGCGGCCGAAGACTTGCGTCATCTACACTGACGATTTCTTCCTGGAGGGCGAGACTAAAGCGGGCTGGGTTCCCACAACCGCGCCCATGAAGCACTCACATCGGGCGTCCAATACCAGGTCTGGTACGACTCGCGCCATATACCCCAGTGCCTGTGTAGGCGATCGCCCACCACCATGACCTTCGCCATCTTCGCGACATCGCTCTCTGATGAAGCCGCCACGGCCCCGCAGTGTGCCCCAAACCGAGAACTTTCGGAGGCAGCGCTTAAATTGTGGCATGCCCTGAACGGAGTGCTCCTGTTGGCGGTGTGGATATGTATCTTCTGGCTCCCCACCTACATATGTTTTGCGCACCGCCGCCCGGTGTTGTCGCATGGTTTTGATGCTGGGGAAGTACAGCCACATTCCTTGCATGCTACCGGCCGTTCGACTTCGATTAGAACTAGGGCATCAGGACATTCAGTGTCCCCTCGCTGTCGCCAAGCACCTGCTGCCAGCGCCTAAGTGCGCTAGGCGTATTGGTGATGTCCGGCGACTTGGCCTGAAGCTTGCAAAGCTTGTTGAGGCCATGTTGTCCACCGAATCCTCGAGACCCAGTCTTTCACGAAGAGACCGGTTGCTCTCACGCGCGACAAAGGACTGAGAGTTGGCAACACCCCTGAGCTGTCTGTGATACCATTGCCTGAGCTTGGTAGCCGAGGTAGTCGTCATACCTGTGGGCGCTAATTTAACAGTGGCCCTGGACTGAACACATGCCCGCCACACTCGGACCCGATTGACGCAGCGCCAGCATCCTACGGGGATAAATGGCTCAGCTGGCGGCCTCCTTGAGCCGTACCGAGTCCGCCAGTGGTAAAGGCGCCTCTCCATCCGGACCCTGCTTTCTCCACGAGGAATGGTTGTCCTTCCGGATTAAGTATTGTTTGAGGTTTTTTTTTGGCCTCAGACCCCTTCACCTTAAGAAGCAACTGCGTTTTAGCAAGGTTAACTTTGAGGCCAAGCTGAACCTCGAGGACCCTGGACAGCAACTTATAACTTATCCAATTGATGGACGTCCGCCTCTTCTTGTGTGAGCCATTGCGCAAGTGTGTCGTCTGCAAAAGTGGCGCAAGTTCCCTCAGTATCATTGTCGAGACTGTCACCCAAAGCATGGGCGCAACCTTGCATCCCTGCCTGCTGCCCCGGGACGTGAGTACCGGCGTGTTCTGATGCTGAGTGGGTGTGATATGAAGAGGTATCACGCAGGGCCAGGAGCGCAGCAGCAAGCTCCTCATTTACTCCATTCTGCCTAAGCGCACGCTGTAGCGGACCCTGCCAAATGCCTGTTTCACGTCTGGGCTGAGGATCGCTCCTCCGACGCAGACTTTACGGGGCCGATGACCGGCTTCCCTGGCGGTCATTTTTCACTGCCCGCATGTGCTCGCGCAAGCTGCGTATCCATATGTGCACTCTGGCCAGAGCGTCCTGAAAGTCTCGCCCTGGCTGGTAGGCGAATGCGCAACCCACCTAAGGTCTTTGCTGATGCAGTCATAAAGTTTGGTCTTCAGGACAGCAGCTAAGACCTTGGCGTCTGGCATCATCACAGTCCTATATAGGACGCAGGGAAGAAGCATCGTCAGCACTTTTACCCAGCTTGGGAAGCCATATCACCCACGCATCAGTCCACAGGGCCGGTAGAACGGCACCCGGTATGTTTGCATATTCAGCAACGGCCCTCTGGAGATGTGGGGCGATGCTGCTTGCACATATCCTCCAAACTGGGGCCGGCGCGGAGCGCGCGGGCACAGCCTTGCCGATCCTGACACCTTGCAGTTGGCGCTGGATCTCTTCCAAAGTGAAGGTCAGAGGCAAGAAGGTGTCCGGCCTGCACGCCTGCGGCACCTCCGGCGCGAACAAATCCTTTCTGTAGTGTACCAATGCTTTGTGCTCTTGTTCGCGCGTCAGGTTGCGGGGACTTGATCATAACCAATTGCCTTGACGGCGGCCGCCGATTCGGCCTGGGCAAGGAGGTGCGTGATCTCATCCCTTTTGGACTGATAGCACTTTTTCCTGGCCTCTTTGGCGGCCTTGTGGAATTCCAGCACTGCGCGCCACGCAGTAAGCGCTCGGTGTGGCTGACACACGGGAGGGCGGGTTGCCGCGGCACGCTTCTGCCACAGGTGCACTGGTGTACCACTGCCTCATTCCGCTGACGCTTTTCTTTTTCCTGCCGGGAAGTGTCGCGCGGCTGCTTCGTAGAGCACAGCGCGCATGTCCTCTACGCGGATGAAGTCGGCTTCTGCAAGGTGCTTGCGGATGTCCTGCACGAGCGGTTGCAGAGCAGAAGCGCCCTCCCGTGCTGCCTGGTCTAGGGCTTTGGCCAGAAGGGGACGTTCCGACCTGGCATGGGGAAGGAGGTGATGATTCACCTGATTGAAGCCGTGACGCAATGATGTCCAACGTGCCTTCTCCATTGACCGACCGGGGTTGGAGGACCTGTGCCTGTTTGGCTTGCCTGTCAGCAATCAGGGCACGCGTAATGATGAAGTCAACCTGACTGGTGCCGTCGGTGCGCAGACACCCGTTGGCCTCCAGGATCAAATTGACGGCGCCCGGGTCCAGGGCGTCAGGCCCCGTGTGAAATGGAGTGTCGCAAACAGATCTGCCGGGGGATTCTGACCTGTACACGCAGGAGCGTACGCAGGAGCCGGCCGTGACCCGTTTAGCACTTTTAGCCCCGCCTCTCTGCCCCTGTGCGCGGGGTGTCCGTCGCTACTCTATGGGTGTTCACAAGCTTGCAACACATGGGAGAGTAACGAGGGCACACTGGTTGACGTGTTGCAAGCAGGCAAGAGTTGACAAGTGGTTTGAGGACCGCATGAAGAAGAAAGAACAGCAGCAAGGAGAAAAGGAAGACAATGCAGGACAGGCAAATGCAGCAGCAGAGAAGGCAGCAGCAACGGGCAGGAAAGCATTGACGAGCAAGCAAAGGCCAAGGCAAGAGCTGTTTTAGAAGCAGCAGCAGACGCGGAGGAGGAAAGACAAAGAAAGGAAAAATTGAAGAAGGTCAATGGGGAGAAGATTCAAAGCGCAGGGGACAAAAGCAAGGGAGCAAAGAATGGACTTCCCTTATGATTCCGCAGAGAGGGCAAAGTAAAAGATCTGGAGAGGAGTAGGAGAAACCTACCAGTTTCAGAAAGGAACAGGAAAATTCGACACAGGAGCAACAGCAGAAGAGGATGGAGGAGACACTGCAGCAGCAGGATCCACAGATCCAACGGCAGAAGCAGCAGGGCCAGCAGGTGAAACAAATCAAAAGGAGCAGCAACAGAACAAGACCAGCCAGCAGATAAAGCAGACACAAATCCACAAGGTACACCAGAACACAGCAGCCGCATGATGACACCCTCCGCAGCGCGGGCTTCCCAACTGCCTACCATCACAGGAACGTTGAGTCTTCGGGT